CAAATCATAATTATATACATTGTATGTGAGATTGAACCCAAAAACCAAAAAAAACTCTTTTAATTCCCATTTACAATTTTAGAGCATTTTTTTGTTAGATAAGAAGTGATATTTGTAGAGAGATCCATGCGCCTAGTATTTTCTCTCCCAAAGCGACAAGAAGAAGCTTCACGTCTGTTCGTCTCTGAGGCTTTCTCCGGCATTCGGCACTTACCGCCGATATCGCGAGAGGGTCTCCTTGGTTCGTATTAGGTTTATAGCTCTTCATCGATGTGTTAAGGATCTTCGTAGGAGGTATCGGAGGGTGTAGTTCTTGTCTGACGGTGTAAAGGCTCCTCCGGTGCAGCGACGCGTTGCGGAAGCTCGGTTGATCTTCTTGTTGGTGGCGCTGGTGGTTCAAGCCGTTGGATGGAGACATTGAGATCTCCTTATTGCCGTTGGATAACTGGATTCATAGGCTAGGGCCGTTGGTTTGGGCCCTATGTTTGAAGTTGGTTTCTTTCCTTGCGTTTAGTTCTAATTGTTTCTTCTCTGATAGTTTCGGTGGATCTAGATATTAGCTTATCCTGGATCTGTTGGTTCAATCTAGTTCGCCTCTCTGGATGTTTTAGTGTGTTAGCCTTCGTGTCTAGGCCTTATGATAGGAGTTGTCTTAGGGCTGATTTAAAGTGTGACTCTTTCTTAGTGAAGAAAATGATCTTGAGGCTGTCTTTCCTCGACTAACAGTTTAGTTTCCTCTCTATCCATTTCTCCAATTGGTTCTTCTATCGGCAATGCGTATCAACAGGTACCTCAGTGCATTGGGTTGTGTATCCATTGGAAAAATCATAGATTGGATTGGGTTCTACTCTGGTTATTGTTGATCTCCTCTTCATGGTTTGTATTGGTTATTGTCACACTTTCTTGGCTTTGCTTTGGTGTCTTGCCTCGTGTCCGTTTGTAGCTCCCTCGTCTCCTTTATCCATGCCGTGAATGATCCTGTTGATGCAAGGGTTTCTTGATTTGGTCATTTTGTGGAAAGTTAGCGACTGGCTTCTATGAGGTGTGGTTTGATTGGATTTGCATGGTTCGGAGTTAGTTTATGTTCAATAGATTTATGTTGGATTTTCGGTTGTAGTGTTTGTCTCTGATGTCGTTCTTGTAGACATCGTCTTTGTATTTCATCCTCGTATTTCTCAATCGTATGTCATCATGTTTAATATAATATTTTCGGTGGGAAAAAAAAGTGATATTTAAAAAGATATTAGCTAATAACATTATTTATCTAGGAAATTAAACTCTATAAATGAAAAGATATGTAGGGTTTAAATGTTCAAAAATATCTAAATGCTGATTCATGCATATGTAGGAAATAAATAAAAAAACTACAGTAAATAGTTCCCCCTACAATCAAAGAAGAATAGAGAGGTTTGGTGATTAAACTGAAAGTAATTAAGAGATAACAAATCACAGGCCAAATCTAATTTGATCATATCATAAAATCTCTCCTTCTTCCCCAACGGCACTCTTTCATCTCTCCAATTTATCTCAAGCCGGATTCCAATTTTCTCAGCGAGTTTCGTCGGAAGATCGTGAATCATAGTCGGCGGAGTGATCTCGCTCCGCTGGTGAATCGTCACCGGAACAGCAGATCCGATCCGACGACACATTTCTAATCGATTTTTTTGTAGTGACGACGAATCAGCGGATCCAGAAACTTCGATTTTCTGGAGAGTTGATAAGTGAAAGAGGCATGAACCTATAAGGTCAAGGCATTTTGCGTCGTGGTGAATTCGATTGATTTTGAGTAAGAGATCTGATTTTTGGGATCTGTTTCTCTCTCTCGTGCTTCGATTAGCTGAAGAATTTGGATGCAAATGGCGAGGAAAGGGTCAAGTATCAGATTATCGAGCTCGAGAATATCTTCTCTTTTGCTCTCCATGTTTGCAACTTTCGCTTCGTTATATGTAGCAGGCCGGTTAGTTCTCAATCTGCATTTATCCATCGTGTAACAAATACTTGTGTTCATGTGATTCTTATTTGTTCTCTCGTCTGTGTGTTTGAGATAGTTTATGGCAAGAATCACAAACTAGGGTTCATCTAATCAAGGAGCTCGACAGGGTAACAGGACAGGTTAGTATTTCGATGTCAGTTTCATGTTTGTCAATGTGATCGTGTACTTGAATTGACCCTGTTTCTAATGAGGTTCTTGATACAAAAATCTGACAGAAATTATTTGATTTGCAATTACTGTTCTTGAATCTCCTTATCTCGCTTCTGCGTAAGGTACTTGAGAATGTTTATGCTGTTTTTTGTATGGGCTCTTTTCAGGGAAAATCTGCCATATCAGTGGATGATACTTTGAAGATCATAGCTTGCAGGTAAAATATGGTACTTTTGTCTCATTTGGTTTCCTTTGAATTTTCTAGTCTCCATGGACTTTAGAACGTAGACTTTTATTTCTAGGGAACAGAAGAAGACACTAGCAGCTCTTGAGATGGAATTAAGTGCAGCTAGACAAGAAGGTTTTATACCAAAAACCCCCAAACATACAGATGGAACTGAAACCAAGAAAAGACCATTAGTGGTAATCGGTATAATGACAACTTTGGGTAACAAGAAGAAAAGAGATGCAGTTCGTCAAGCATGGATGGGGACAGGTACGGTTCTTCCTTATCCATGTTTTAGTAAGATACTGTCTGTTATTTGCTTATGTTCTTTTGTAAATCTTCTTTAGTGGTTTGAGATTGGGTAGGTTTAGAGATTGATTTCGTATTTCCTACTTCTTAGTTATGGAATACACTTATTATTGGGAGCTTAACATGTCCTTTTTTTTTTCTTCAGGCGCATCTTTAAAAAAAATTGAAACCGAAAAGGGTGTGATTGCACGATTTGTTATTGGAAGAAGGTGTGGTTTCGGTTTATTATTCTTTGATTTATCTATGCCTGGAATAATGATTATGAAGTACTAGAATCTTATTTCGAAACGTTATTTTTGTGTTACGCAGTGCAAATAAAGGCGATAGCTTGGACAGGAGCATTGATACTGAAAATAGTCAAACCGATGACTTCATCATTCTCGTATGTGTTTTCTGACTCGTTCTAGATTATTACCCCGGTCATTCATTTATTATCTCACCTGTGTTAATTTGAGGAGCTTGGCCATTTAATGTTTTCCAGGATGATGTAGTTGAGGCACCTGAGGAAGCTTCGAAGAAGGTAAAACTGTTCTTTGCCTATGCTGCAGATAGGTGGGATGCACAGTTTTATGCAAAGGCCAATGACAATATCTACGTAAATATGGGTA